CATGTTCCGCAAAGTCTCCGTTTTTCGGTGGTGGTGGTGGGCTCGGCTGGGGGTTGCTGTTGGGTTTTTTGCCACCCCCTTTCTTGCTTTTTCTCTTCTCCCTGGCCCTCCTGGGAGCCCCCCCGGCACCTTCCGTGCAGCCCCACACATGCCAGGGACACAGGGAGAGGTGACATGCCGGGGTCCCTGCTCCCGTGGGGACAAGGACACGCCGTGACAGTGGCCTTCTGGAGAGAAAAGAGGCTGACAGCTATTGCCTGGGGGTGATGGCAGAGCCCCCCCACCGCCTTTCTCCACGCCGTGGCTCCCAGATTGTGTCCAGGGGGACTGGGAGGGGAGAGGGGACAGCGAGCAGACGAGATGGAGGTGGCCAAGAGGCTGAAGAGGCAGATGCACACATCTGGAGGGTGAATCCTGGGTGAGAAGTCAAGGAGGAGCCTCCAGATGTTGTGAGCAGGGAGGAAAAGCCCAGGAAAAACAAGAAACGGGAGCAAGGGAGGAGGAGGACCAGTCTGGAAACCGTCTCTTGACATCTTGCACCGCCGGTGGGGCTCCTGGTGCGGTCACAGTTCGCTCCCCACCGGGCAGAGCTCAGCCTCTCCGCTCCCACAGTCCCTCCGCCGAGCCTGGGGGCTGGGAGGGGATGCGTGTGTGTGTGTCCCCTCTCCCCGTTTTCCACCACCGTCCCCCCACCTCATCCTACAGCCAGGTGCCCCACGGAACCTGGGGGGGGGCTTCCTCACATCATGATGTGCCGCCGGCGGTGCAGGGCCAGGTGGTCGGAGCGGGAGAAGCTGCGGTCGCAGTCCGAGCAGCGGAAGGGCTTGATGCCCGTGTGCTTGCGGAAGTGCCGGGTCAGCTCGTCGGAGCGGGCGAAGCGCCAGTCGCAGCCTTCCCAGGTGCATTTGTAGGGCTTCTCGCCTGCCGGGGGTCGGGGTGGGGGTGAGAGCAGAGAGGGGGGTCAGCGCCGCAGAAATCATAGAATGGTTCGGGTTGGAAGGGACCTTAAAGATCATCTAGTTCCAACCCCCCTGCCCTGGGCAGGGACACCTCCCACCAGACCAGGTTGCTCCAAGCCCCCTCCAACCTGGCCTTGAACCCCTCCAGGGATGGGGCAGCCACAGCTTCCCTGGGCAACCTGTTCCAGTGCCTCACCACCCTCACTGTAAAGAATTTCTTCCTAGTATCTAACCTAAATCTCCCCTCCACCAGCTTAAAACCATTGCCCCTTGTCCTGTCGCTACTCTTCTTTGTAAAGAGTCCCTCTCCAGCTCTCCTGTAGGCTCCTTTCAGGTACTGAAAGGCCGTTATAAGGTCTCCCCGGAGCCTTCTCTTCTCCAGGCTGAACAACCCCAGCTCTCTCAGCCTGTCTTCAGGGACACGCAGGGAGAAGCAAGGCCGGGTTTCCCCGTTTCTCAGCCGCAGAGAAGCCCTCGGTGTCTCCACCCCAGCCCTCTCCCACCCGGGCGGCCCGTGGGCGCCACCAGCTGCGTGCAGGGAACACAGCACCGTGCCCCAGCAGGACCCGAGATGGTATTTTGGGGTGCACACAAGTCCCCCCCCTACCTGCAGCATTGCCCAGTCACCCCCCGGAGGACAGCAAAGGGCACCCCACGGGGTGAGGTGGCACCCCCGTGCATGGGTGGAGGGTGCCTGTGGTGGCACCACCATCACAGCAGGGACTGGAATCCTGGGGTGCCAGCCCTCGGGGGGGCTACCTGCACTATGGGGGCACCAGGAGCCCTCCTCAGCAGAGGGAGACCCCAGGGCAATGGGGGCTGGCAAGGAGGGGGGAGCCCCAGCAAGGCCACCTGAGGGAGCACCCCATAACCAGAGCTGGGGGCAGAGGACAGAAGGGTCCCTGGGGCGTGGCCTTTGGTAGCAGCACCCCCAAAGGGCCAGCACAGAGCCCAAGTGCTCCCCAAGACCTGCACTGCTCCCAGAGCGCCCCCCAGCACCCAAGGGCCTCTGTAAACCAAGGTAGAGAGCGTCAGCACCCCCAAAAGGTGTCCCCCAAAGCCCCTGGCAGAAGGTGCCAGCATCTCCAAAGGTCCACCCAGAGACCCCAAGGGGCACCCCCAGTCTCTAGCACAGGGTGCCAGCACACCCAAAGGACACCCCCAGGCCCTGGCAGAGGGTGACAGCATACCCAAAGGGCCCCTGAGTCCCCAAAGGCCCCCCCAACCCATGACACAGGCTACCAGCACCCCTAAAGACTCCTGAGCCCCCAAAAGCCATCCCCCCAGCCCCCAGCAGCACCCCCAAAGAGCCTCCCCAAGCCCCCAGAGGATGCCCCCAGCCCTGGCACAAGGTGCCAGCAACCCTAAAGCGCATCCTTGAGCCCCCAGAGGACCTGCCCCAGCCACTGGCAGAGGGTGTCAACACGCCCAAAGGCATGCCTGAGCCCCCAGATGGTACCTCTCATTTTTTGCAGAGGGTGCCAGTACACCCAAAGACCCTCCTTGAGCCCCCAAAGTGCCCCCAGCCCTGGCACAAGGTGCCACCATCCCCAGTGACAACCCCCTGAGCCCAGGGATGGACCACTACCACCTCCTCAAGCCCGTCCCTGGGTGCCCCCAGCCCACTGAGAGCCAGGGGCGCTGACGCTGACCCTCCCAGGCAGGGGATGGGGGGGTACGGTGCTGGCCCCCACCTGTGTGTATCCGCCGGTGGGCTTTGAGGTGGGAGCTTTTGGTGTAGACCTTATTGCAGCCTTCAAAGTCGCACTGGTGGATGCGCCGCTTCTTCAGGTCGGGGGAATCGGCTCGCTGCCCCCTCGTCGCCGGCCTGCGGGGAGGAGGGAGGGAGGGATGGAGGACATGGCCCCCCCACACCCACGGACCCCGCAGGGCACCTGGGGACACGGCCAGAGAGGGGAGGACAAGGAGGGGGACACACATCCGAGGAGACTCACTCTCTCTGGAGGTCCTGGAAAGGGGCCGGGCCGCTCTCGGAGGCGCTGTCCTCGCTGTCGCTGCTCATGGCCATGGGGTACATGGAGCCCGGGTCAATTTTCACTGGTGGGGGGCGGGAAAGAAGAGCTGTTGGGAAGGAAACAAGGAGGAAGGAGGTGAGGTTCATGAGCAGAGAACAGAGACACACCACACACAAAAAAATCCACCCCCGCACCAGCGGGACAACCCTCCCCCTGCTCCTGCAGCACCCCAATTCTGTTCCCGCCCCCAAATAAAACATTATCAACTTTGGGGAGATGGAGAAGTTCCCCACGCCGTGGGACACAGCGATACGGGGGGCAAAACGTGGGGGGTACCCCTTTTGGCTGCCTGCTCCTGCCTGGAGGAGGGGAGATGCAGGGCCCCCACCCAAGGTGGGAAGCTGGGAATGTCCTGAGGAAGGGGATGGGGGGGGACAAGGAGGGGGGCAGCTGAACTGAAAACTGGCAGCAGGACGGGTAGCGAGCGGGCAGTGCCATGCCCCTGCCCTCCCCATGTGTCCCACTGAGGGCACAGACTGGGGGAGGCCAGGGGGACTTCTGGGGACCCATCCTTTGGGTGAAGGTGGCAGATGTGGGGAGGCAAACGGTGGGTGGGGGGACAGCCCAGGGTGGAAAAATCAGACCCCCTTCAGGGGTGCTGCTCCATGGGGCGGGACACTCCCCCCAAAGTGTCAGAGTTTCCCCCCAGCCACGTGCCCTTACCGGACCCAGCGTTCTTGCCGTCCCCCCCGATGAGGGGTACGGTGATGGCAGTGACGCCGTCGGTGGGCATGGTGGTGTAGACGACGGGGAGGGACTGGACCACCACGGGGATGGTCTGGAGGTTGCCCATCTTGCTGGGCAGGTTGACGGAGGGGATGGTATGGATGACGTGGAGGATCTGCTGCCCGCCGCTGCCCTGCGTGGAGGCCAGGATGGAGCCGGGCGACAGGACGGCCGGGATGGCCGAGGTGGAGCTGAGGCCGGAGGGCGAGATGGAGACGGTGGCGGGAGCAGGGAGCGGGGGAGCCACCAGCAAGGGGGAGGACTGGACCGAGGTGGGGGGCGGTGGCGGTGGGGCCGAGGCCGCCGCCACCTTGGACTTGTTGAGGGAGAGATCGACGGGCTCGGCCTGGGGCTGGCCGCAGTCACTGGCCAGCAGCTCCTCGGGGGGCTCCGTCTTGATGTCGGCCAGCAGCACCGGGGGGTCGAGGGGGCCCTCAGCCAGCAGCGCCGACGAGCTCATGGCGGGCGTCGCCTTCCCCTGGCCCTGCAAGAGACCCGCGGCCCGTGAGGAGACGGGGAAACTGAGGCACGGGGTGGGGGGGGGGTGAGGGGGGTGAAGGGCTTTGGGCGGCCTCCCCCCACAACCAGTGGCCACCGGGGCCCTCGGGACGGTACCTCAGGGCGGGCCCGGAGGCCCCGGCCGGGTGAGGGGACGCCAGGGTCGGCCGGCCCGGCGGAGCGGGGCAATGGCGGCCGGTACCGGTGCCGGCCGGGCCCGCACGACGGTTCCCCCAGCGCGCGCCCAGGGCGGGAAGGGGA